GCAGAGGCAAAGTGCTCAGTTACTGACAGAATTTTGCCTAGCTAATACGATGTTAATTTCGATGACATCTCACGATAAATTCTTCAGCCGTCAATGATCATGAATGAATCGTGTCGTTACGCGAATTGATTGCCCTTATATTATGTACTGATTTAGTGCCGCAATAAATGGCAAAAAGCGTTTGGTGAAACGCAATGTGCCAACCTGCAATAATCGTGTGAGTTTCGAGTCACGATAGGGTATATGCTTCGATTTGCCGTCAACTAAGGCCGAAATTACGTTGCCGAGAGCAGACAGTGAAAGGTTGATTTTTGTGGCTTCTTTAAAACGATCACCGGTAGCACCTTGAATGTTTCATCCGTCACTTATCCAAACTCACCAACATCTATACCAGTCACGTTCACGGACTTCATCAATTGATCATCATCAGCATGAATGAGAGAGGATTCGTCGACATGAAGTCAAGTTTAACCTGTTTTGGCTTGTCTTTCACTGCCTGCCAGATCAACCAGATGCAATTTACCCATACGGATGGAACCATTATCAAGCATCGCTTCGACATAAACCGTGAATATTGAGTGTGAGCGTGATGAGTCTTTATTCATCAGTGTCTCACCAACCTTAATTCATAGGATTTGTTTGTCATAATTCACATAAAATAGTTCAAAAAACCAGCTACTATTACTGCTATCATTAGCATCGAATAACTTTCACGTGCGATGCGATGCAACCGCACTAAACACGGGAAAATAGCAAGCTCACGGGAAAAATCACGCGGCAATGAGCATTCACTGCTTCAGGTAACCTGGATTTAGCACACTCCATACATACTGAAGAGCCTAAAGGCCATAAATCTAGCGCAAAACAACATGATCGAATAGATACGGAAAGCGAACCGAGTACAAAAGCAATTCTCGGTATGTGCAGATGTACATAGTTGATGATGAGTGAATTTGCATGTTTCCAGGAATTTGCTTTATTCATTTGCAAATCATTTTGATGCCTTTCAAGTGAATCGCCAACAAAAATGGTACAGCTACTGCCTGATCGATCACCGCC